GCCTGTAGTCCCAGCTACTCGGGAGGCTGAGGCAGGAGGATCGCTTGAGCCCAGGAGTTTGAGGTTGCTGTGAGCTGTGCTGATGCCACGGCACTCTAGCCCGGGCAACACAGTGAGACTCTGTCTCAAAAAAAAAAAAATTAAAAAATGGTATTAGAAAAAAATTGGATACATACTTGAACACTCTATACTAGGATGATTTCCAGATGGATCATAGATATGATATTAAAAAATGACTCCATCAAAAAGCTAGAAAACAAGTAAATTCCTTTATAAATTTGGAGTAGAGAAGATCTTTCTAGTTATTAATAAGAGGCTACAAAACATGAAAGAAAGATTGGTAATGTTGAGTTATTAAAAAAAGACATAAAAATTCTGCATGGCAAAAAAATGAACAAAAAAAACCACAACAAAAAACACTGTTAGCAAAGCCAAAAGATTAAATGACAAAAAGGAAAAAATATTTTTCATTCTTCTCACAAAGGGGCTTATCTTTCTAATACAAAAATCTCTAAAATAGGATAAGGAAAAAAACCCAACAGCGCAGCAGAATAGGCAAAAGATCTGAGTAGTTCACATAAAAGAATAGAAATGCCTCTTAATTATATGAAAAGATGCTCAGTCTCACTTATAAGATAGGTGTAAATTAAAGCTATTGTTAGATACCATTCGTCGCCTATCAGATTGTTACGACACTTTGGATGTTTGCAAGTGCTGGGAAATCCATAGATTAAATTCAGTATTTTAATTGTGGGAAAGTAAGAGAAAATGTGAGGTGTTCTGATAGAAGTTCTCTTAATTAGTTGCTGCTTGATCAGTTTGCCTGGATTAAGGTATATATAATGTGTGCTTTAACTGTCTTTGAGTACAGATCCACTAATGAGGATCAAATCGACAATTGGTGACGGTGATCTCAGCTAATAGGGCTTCTTCTGTATACCTAGGACTAACCTAGTAACAAAACTAAGCTTCTTAAAACTAAGTCTCTTCTGTCACTAAGTTAATTTATATCTAAATGAACAGAGGGAAAGTTTAGTTTCCTGTGCTCATTCTTTGGAGTTAGAAGATTGCTTTAAAATGAAGTCTCTCCCTGTTTATTTTAGGAGGAAGAAGCACTTCTATCTGAGATGGATGTCACAGGCCAGGCCTTTGAAGACATGCAGGAGCAAAACATTCGTTTGATGCAGCAGTTGCGGGAGAAGGATGATGCAAATTTCAAGCTCATGTCAGAGCGGATCAAGTCCAACCAGATCCATAAGTTGCTTAAAGAAGAGAAGGAGGAGCTGGCAGACCAGGTTTTGACTCTGAAGACTCAGGTAATTAGGATGAATAGAGTTTTCTATTCTGTTGAAGTGGGGTGCTTTCTGCATGTAAAAGAATGATGTGGCATTTTTTGTGGTAGGAAAAAAACCTGATGACTAAATGTCCATCATTAAGGTACTGGTAAATAAATTATATGTCCCTGCAATTGTGTATCCCTAAAAGAGTGCAGTGTAGCTGTTAAAACAAATATGGATCTGCTGATATGTGAAAATGTCTAAAAATAGTGATTTGTTCTATTGTCCCTTTTGTGTTAAAATGTGTGTGTGTGTGTGTTCATGTGTGTGTGTGCGTGTGCAGTGTATTTTAAAAATTTCTGGAAGGCTGCGTGATAAACTTTAAGAATAGTTAACCTCTGGATATTGGGATGAGTTTGTGGCTGAGGGGTTAGGAAGTGGGTGTGTATGATTTTACTTTTTACCCTTTGATGCTGTTTGATTCTACATTGTGCACTACTTTCAAGAAAAAGACTGCTTTAGAACCTGTAACCATTCTGAAAGAGATATGCTTGGACTTTCGTTTGAGCCACAATTTATATGT